GAGAGAGAGAGAGGTTTCAAAATAGGGAACCATCGAGAGACGTCGTCTCCAACCAAGGAGACGTCGTCACCATAGCTTGAGGTTATGGCTGGGGAATAAGTTGGGCACCAGCGAGAGACGTCGTCCCCTGGCCCCGTTTTTTTCTCGCCAGGGTACCCACCCACACCCACACACACACACATAAGGGGTACGACTAGAGAGAGGTACGAGTAGAGAGAGAGGTACGAGTAGAGAAAGAGGTACGAGAAGAGAGAGAGGTATGAGTAGCGAGAGAGATACGAGTAGAGAGAGAGAGAGAGGTATGAGTAGAGAGAGAGAGAGAGGTACGAGTAGAGAGAGAGAGAGGTACGAGTAGAGTAGAGAGAGGTACGAGTAGAGCAGAGAGAGGGGTACGAGTTGAGTAGAGAGGTACAGGTAGAGAGAGAGGTACTAGTAGAGAGAGAGAGAGAGGTATGAGTAGAGAGAGAGAGGTACGAGTAGAGAGAAAGAGCAGAGCAGCTGAGCTGTGGGTGGATGGACGGATGGATGTGGATGGATGGGTGGCTGGCTGTCGCTGGCAGCTGATATTATTGGCGATCGAAGAGGATACAGTCAGTGCCGAGCGAGCGAGCAAGCGAGCATGGAACCAGTCACTCTGCGACTCTTCTTCCAATAGCATGACGTTCGAACAATTCGACGGAGGTATGTAGTCTCTGTAAGCTTCAGCAGCAGCTGTCTGGCCGCTTCCGCTGCTGCCATCGCCGCTGTCCCTGCCTTTGTGGTCTGCAACGTGAACCATCATCGAACTGCTTGATTGCTTAGAGACTCTCCTTTTCGTTAAAACCTGCCTTCTACTCTTGTCCCTCCAATAGAGCGCATATTCCATCTTCCTGGCATGATGACAAACCATGTTCCTTGCATCTGGACGGTGCATCCGTTCATCTATACTCGCTGCTGCAGGCAGGTGGCAGAGCAGGTGGCAGGCAGGCAGACAAATATATACTACTGTTAGACAGCCAGGGAGCAGGAGTCACGCGGGCAGCAGGAGGTGATCGGCAGGAGGCAAGCAGCAAGGCGTGGGCAGTGGGCAAATGTTGCCACTGTCCTCCTCCACTGGTGTTATCACAATTTTCGAATTTACTTCCGAGTCACGTGGGGGAGGGACTGATGTGCTGTTGTCGTTCTTAAGTCCTTTTCGCGTCAGCCGGTGCAGCTGGGTAGTGGGGTTCTGACGACCTTCATTGTTTTCTTTTTCCGTTTTTGTTTTTCTTGCTTATTCATATTTTCTTACCTCTTCCTTTTGACTCTTTTTTTTTACAAATGTGTGATTGATATGGAGAGAAATTTCATTGTTGCTTTCGACTTATGAAACAAATATCTCACATTTACTTGCTTTCCAATCAACCTCTTCCTCCTAGACGGGCATAATATATGCGTAGGAGGTTGAACTGCTGTGGTGGCGGACGTTTGCAATCCTGCAAGTTTGTTTTTTGTTTGTCATGTGGCTGCGCTCTCTCTGTTGTTATCCCTTCACGTTCCCTATACTCATGACGACCCTCCCCACTCATTTGCGCTTTCTCCCCTCTCTTCTTCACGTTGTGTATACAGAACGACCCTTCAGATTCTCGAGAGTCGTGTTGTCTGTACAGAACGACTTTTGGATAAGCTGGCAGTTTTGTGTTGCTCGCTGAGTGGACTTCTCTGATTGCTTTAGGGTTCAGGGCTCATAAGTGGCGGCGGCCGATGATCGAGAGTCTTCTCTAAATTTTGTTGGATTCTTTGCTACAAGACGTTGCTTATAATATTTTGTAGGTTCCTCCTCTTGTTCTGATGCCTAATACTCGTGAACACGTTTTCCGCTCTGTCTTTCGAGGAGATCAGTATGCGGCGAGAGTATGCTGTGAGAGTCTTTCGGTGGAAGTGGCATTTTCTCTTCTGTCTAGTATGTTCCTGTGAGAGTAAGCCCCTCCCTTCCGAGGAGATCAGTGTGCGGCATTTTCTCTTCTGTCTCTTCGGTGGAAGTGGCATTTTCTCTTCTGTCTCTTCGGTGGAAGTGGCATTTTCTCTTCTGTCTCTTCTGCTGTGAGAGTAAGCCCCTCCCTTCCGAGGAGATCAATATGCGGCGAGAGTACGCTGTGAGAGTCTTTCGGTGGAAGTGGCATTTTCTCTTTTGTCTCTTCGGTGGAAGTGGCATTTTCTCTTCTGTCTCTTCTGCTGTGAGAGTAAGCCCCTCCCTTCTGAGGAGATCGGTAGATGGCGAGAGTACACTGTGAGAGTCTTTCGATGGAAGTGGCATTTTCTCTTCTGTCTAGTCTGTTGAGCGGTATGGAGGGAGTCTGTGCGACTGGCATTAGTAGGACTCGTGCTCGTTTCTCCTGCTGGGGACAGTGTGCCGCATTGTGAAAAAACAGGGTTGTAAAGCGAGTCTGACGTTCTGTTCGCAATGGGCGGCTCAGATCACACGTACTTCCTGGTCCTCTCAGTTTCGTGAACTTGAACTAAGGGCATCGCCACACCACTCTCGAAATGTGCAAAATGAGAATGAACTTCCCGCTAGAACATGGTCAGATGCACCTGCCACATTTATGTCTTTTTCACATTTCGAGAGTGGTGTGGTGATGCCCTAAACTCGTAAGTGCACTCTCTGCGGCATGCAAACAGCAGTCGCAATGTGCCACCGCCATCTGAGGGGGCCCATGTGATATGTGGCGGGCTACAAGGCAGGGATATGTCCGGAACGCCATGGCGGACCTCGAGCAGGCGGGTACGAGATTTATAGCGGGCGAAGTTCCGGAGAGTGTTTTTGTTTGTTTGTCAGCTCATTCGGAGGTCATCTAGGAGAGTATGTGCCGACGACGTTGTCACACGGTCAAGGTGTTCGGAGATGCTCTCTATCGTGAATGGGAGTAGTGGTGTGCATTGGTGCCAATTCGTTGTGGAATGTGTTGGCTTTGTTTGGTGATTATTGCATAAGGAGAATATGCTGGCTAACTTGCGGTGCAAGAAGTAAAGTGCAGCCTTCATTGGAGGAGCTTGCATTTCCTGGAAGGAGGGGAGTCGGTAGATTACAGGGAGGTGAAGGTGACGATTTGCCTATAACTCAGCCCTCAGGGCAGAGGATAGGCAGCGCCTGCTGCCTAAAAGGCGATGGGTTGAGGACCTTGAGGTTGAGGAGGACAAAACGGGGTCGTCGTCAATGATGAAGCCTCGCTCCTCAGAGGATGTGTCAATGACGAAGCCTCGCTCCTCCGAGGATGTTGAGATCGATGAAGATCTGCACAGTCGCCAGTTGACAGTGTATGGACGGGAGACCATGCACCGCCTGTTTGGGCCCAGTGTGCTTGTCTATGGGCTGGGGGGTCTTGGAGTGGAGGTCGCATAAAAATAAAAAAAAAATAAAAAAAAAACGTGACCGGGCGCGAGTGTGTCACACACACACACACACACAGATAGAGATAGATAGATAGATAGATAGATAGATAGATAGATAGAGAGAGAGAGAGAGAGAGAGAGAGAGAGAGAGAGAGAGAGAGAGAGAGAGAGAGCTGTCATTGGTGAAGTTGTGTACCGACCAGCAAGCTTGGATTCGTGAAGGGATCATCCGACCCTACCTTCGTTGCTTCTATAGTTCGTTTTCCCTCACTTCGATAAATCTTTCGTAGTCTGCTGGAGTTCTTTTTTTTTTTTTTGAAAAACGTCCCCTTCGGTGCTAGTGGTGCTGGTAAGAGCAGACACCGCTAGTACTTTTGGGGCGTCCTATTTACAGAATGGTCTTGGATGATATAAGAAGTTCATATCCAGTTTAGGTCGAGTGTGCGGGTGGAACTCACGTGTTTTCACTGAGATGGTGCATCGTAGCTCCTCAGACTGCGATCAGGAGATGGCGAGTGTGTACGCTAGGGAGGAGAAGCCAGTGAAGATGCAGTCGGTTGAGGCGGTCCTGAAGGTTGCCAATCCGGGCCCTCTGGGGCTGACTGCCTTCGCTGTCACGACCTTCACTCTATTTATGTTTAATGCTGGTATCTTGCCTAGATCCATCGAAAACGTCGCTGTTCCGCTGGGTTATTTTTTAATGGAGGGTCTGTGCAGCTGCTCGCTGGACTTGCTGAGATATTCGCTCGGAATGGTGCATTTTTTATTGCATTCACTTGTTATTTTTTGGCTATCGTTCCGAGTTTGGAAGGACTAGAGAAGGAGAAGGTGCATATCGCCACAGGGGTGTTTTTGTTCACCTTCACAGTGTTCACGACGTACATGGCCATTGCTTCAACGTGCTTGGCTCTCACCTTCTTGTTCCTCAAGATCGGCGACTAAGGAGAATCGGATGGCGCCAAGAAGACTGGCGGTTACTTTGGGATCATCAAGTCCATTTTGGCCTGGTACTGTTCCTTCGGCCTTGTCCTTCTTGACACTTGGAGGTATGAGGTTATCCCACTTGTCTTCTACAAACACAGGACTGATTAGGGTGTCAATCGTTTGCGAAGGAAGGTTCTGCATCGCCAGCCCATCATTGGCTGGTACGACACTTGCTCTTGCACATATGTTTTAATTGTCGTTTCTATGTGTGTGGGTGTGAGTGGGTACCCTGGCCCGTTGTGAATATGGGGAGTGTACTGTGGAGTGCTTAATCAGCGGGAACGATGGCGCTGGTCTGTAGTTCGTTTCTTTGTGAAATTAACATTTCACAACGGCTGCTCTGAGAGTTTTGTCTGCCTGCAGAGCCGTGTCTTTGTTTCTTGTCTCTTGTTGGGCCATTTCTATCCAGGGTAGTTACGAACTTGTAGGCCGTGAATTGAGGTACTCGTACCTCTCTCTCTCTACTCGTACCTCTCTCTCTCTCTCTACTCGTACCTCTCTCTCTCTCTACTCGTACCTCTCTCTCTCTACTCGTACCTCTCTCTCTCTACTCGTACCTCTCTCTCTACTCGTAACTCTCTCTCTCTACTCGTACCTCTCTCTCTCTACTCGTACCTCTCGCTCTCTCTACTCGTACCGCCCTTGCTTCACCTTTCTTCCCCCTTGCCCTTGCCATCAGCCTCTCCATTTCCATCGTTATCCTCATCATCGCCACCATGATTACCATAATTTATGTCATGATGCAATGCAATCAATCCCTGCCCTCGCTCTCCCCCCCCCCTTCTTCTCTAGTCGAGCTCATTTACTCCCGACTGTCTCTTTTCTCCTTCCCGCATCTCCCCTCTCCCCCCCCTCTCCAGTCTCAACCGCCATTTGCGATTCTTTCTGATTGTCACCCTGTCTACTGCGCCTCCCACACCGCCGCATTTATTCCCGCTCGAATTGCTCACACTGATTGACGTCACATCGCTCGTATGCAGTGCGCTGTTCTGCGCCTAGAAACCATCACCAGTTCATCCCCATCCACCCACCGCTACCCACCCACAACACCCCATTAAGCCGCCTCCCGTTTTGCCGGGGGATGATAAAATCGACAAACTTCCCGCTGACATCTCCCCTTCAGCGAATCCCGACAAACAGTCACACATTATCAACCGCCGCAGTGTTTGCGTCCGGATGCACATAACGACAAGACGAGCCCCTCACTCATTTGTCTTTCAGGAAATAAGAGAAGGGTTTGGGGATCGCCACACCACTCTCGGAATGTGCAAAATGAGAATGAACTTCCTGTTACAACATGGCCAGATGCACCACCACATTTTTGTCTTTTTCACCTTTCGATGGTGTGGCGAGGCCCTTTGACACAAGTGGAGAAGAAATTGAATGAGTGGAGGAGGAGGTGAGGAGACTGACCTCTCACGGCGGCCTTCCAAAGATGGTAAGAAAGACTCTCCGAATGTTGGGAAACCTGCACTTCACACTAAGCAAATGACACACACACGGCAGAAAGCATGCAGAACACAGACACGAACTGACACACCACTGGCAAGATAACGAGAACAGGACACTGAGAAGGCAACGGATAGTGCGGCGCACTCAATGAAGATGACGAGAAGGACACTGAACGCCACAGATACTACGGCGCAAACGGTTGCTGAACGTGAACTGACGGTACGGCGCGCTGTAGTTATATGGTTGGAGACCCCATGGAAGGCTAGGTGCTCTTCGTATCTGTATCTGGCCACATTCTGTGGGGCAATGGATACATAAGTCTCTCCTTTCCTCTGGCCCCACTCAAACTGTCATAAGTCTTAAGGGTCCATTGACGGTTTCTGCCCATTCGGGCGGCTTGTTCTTCTCTTCCGAGTCAGGCCCTAACTGTTTCTCCTCATGACTCGGAGGGCGCCAAACCTCTTCAGTTTCTAGCCGTTCTTCCCTGGGAGTCATGTATTGTTCGAGGGCCGTGATTCCGCCAGACATTTTTCCATTTTTTCCCCGACAGGTCATTTTCCTGCCAAGTATGAACGGACCATATCATGAGGCAGGAATTGTATTCCGCCAGATCAACACAAAGAAAAAAGAAAATGGGTCATATTGCTAGGCGGGAAATGTGTTCCGCCGGGAAGAAAAAAAATCGAAAAAAAAATGTAGGACAACGAAAAACGGAGATGCCCACCCCTTTCTTTAGCGGAAGACTGATTTTTCAACGATGTTCAATAAGTGGCGGGAAATTTGAGTAAAACTGAAACCTGCACAATAGCAGGAAAATTTTGAAGTTGAACTGGAATTTTCACTTCCAATTATAATTTCAGCTTAGAAAATTTATGTTGATCAACACATCTCCAAGTGTTCATGCTCGTATTCAACTCGACTGCTGCTTCCACAATATCCTGCACCCTGTGAGAACTGTCAAGATAGGACAGGTGTGCAAGTGTCTTTTTGGGACCAATAGATTCAAGAGAGTCATAAATGGTAATGTTAAAATTAGAAGAACTTGGTTGTTTCAATGGTCCTCTATGGACATGCAAATGGTCTCTTGATGGCGTAAGAGTGTGCACAACACAACTGACAGGAGATGGAGTAGCCATAGCGGCCGGCGAAGCAGAAACAACAACAGAAGTAATGACAGTCGGTGTTGACATATTGGAGGGTGGAGCATAGTCCGCAAGACGTTGAAAATTTGGAGGAGATGCTGCTTGAAGGGGGAGTCTACGGACCGAAGCAGAATGAGGAGCAGAAGAAGCAACCACAGGAGGAATCCTTTTCAGAAGTTGTTGTATCCGTACATATCAGTGAAAGGGTTGGGGAATTGTCCCTTTTGTCGGACAATGTGGCAAATCAAATGTCATCCTTGTAATCTCCTCATTAGAGAGAGCAACATACTCATCGGTCAAAAGTGAATTCAACATGGAAGAAGCCTCCAAATCCGAAACATTCAACGAGTCTGAAGGAAGAGGGGATTTTCGTTCCAACCGCATATCAGTGAGTTTGTTTCTTTTCCAATCGAGGAAGTTTTCCCATATTCGTCTGTCTTTTACGATTGTGGCACTTTTGACAAACATTTCAAAAAACACCTCACTCAAGACATTTTGGATGTCAACCTTCTTTACATCGTCAAACCATCTAGCAAGGTAAGCGTGCGGATTCGGAGTGCGGATTCTGCGTGCATTGTCATCATCCGACACAACAATAACCCCCAAACGATCTTGTGGTTGCGATGTGGTGCAAACATTTTTTTCGTGTCCAATGCGTTGAGATTGTGATCATGAATCACAAGCACGTGAAAGTCCACCGAACCGTCAACACAAGGGAAGAGATCCAAGCGCATCGGGAGGAAGCGCATTCAACGCTCTCAGAACCAGAGTTCCAGTTTCAACAACAACAGGTTGTCGTCCCGCCTGATTATCAGCGTCGGGCGAATCCAAAGGATTATATTTTATACCACGACTCTTTTTTCTCTTGAATGTAGAATCAACACAGTCTTTTTTCGAATAACTTGTAATGTCATCATCCTGGTCACCAGGAAATGTAAGGTCATTAGGCCGACCTGACAGACCTCTGCGCGAATCATCCCCATCAGCACGACCCCCGTCACCACCCTCCTCCACAAACATATTATCAGCATCCTCAAGGGTATTCCCTCCTCAACATCGATGTTCAACTTCACCAAAAGGAGCATGATAGCCTCGAGCATGTTCACTTCCAAGATTCACCGACCTCTCATCATTTCCAATCTTTTTCGACCTCTCCGAATGTTCGGCTCCACCTTTCGATGTAACATTCGTATCATATTGAGTGGTATTATTGGTTCTCATTGCTTTCCATCCCCATCAGCACGACCACCGTCACCACCCTCCTCCACAAACATATTCTCAGCATCCTCAAGGGTATTCTCTCCTCAACATCGATGTTCAACTTCACCAAAAGGAGCATGATAGCCTCGAGCATGTTCACTTCCAAGATTCACCGACCTCTCATCATTTCCAATCTTTTTCGACCTCTCCGAATGTTCGGCTCCACCTTTCGATGTAACATTCGTATCATATTGAGTGGTATTATTGGTTCTCATTGCTTTCCTCTTAGCACGAGTGTCGTACTTATGCGGCATTCGACACTCGCCTGCAAAAAAAGAATATGACGGAATTATTTGCAATGCGAAGGCTCGACAAAAAAAAAAAAAAAAGACTCACCCCAAAAGTTCATGATATACAATATTCTTCGTGAAAAAATTCTTATCAGGCAATGCAACACGGAWGTTGTTGGGATGACCAACATGCGACAAAGCAACGTACAGTTGACCATGCACAAAAACCGGTTTGCGTAGCCAAACCCTGACATGCAATACCGTTTGTCCTTGCGACTTGTTAATCGTTACAACAAAAGCAAGACGGACTGAAAATTGCCTTCTAAGCCATTTGAACCCCGTGGTCTCACTCTGACTTGTCAAATCAATCTTGAGGATTAGTGTTGTCTTACCCGTGTGCATTATTGTCACTTCCAGCAAATCATCATTAACGATCTTTTTCAGAATCAGCCTTGTACTGTTGCAAAGTCCTTGCTACGGTGACAAATTTCGCAAAAGCATCACAGGTGCACATGGAAGGCCAGATTTGTCGAGAGAGTTTGAAAACTCATGCTCAATATTGAGTCCGATATCATCCGAATCAAGATAATCAACACTAAAATGGTCACGCACCTCCCCAGGAAAGTCGTCAAGAACACAGTTGTTATCGGAAGCCGCATCGTCATTTCTAGGGCATAGAATTAACCGAGGCAAGCAATAATCGGCATCCCCCACATTGTTGGACACATCATCTAACGTCCATGAAATCAACTCATCAATCGGTTTATTCGTACAAATCTCACGTGGCAATCTGGCCGCAACAGGTTCATTCGGAACAACACGACGATGGTCACCATTTCCAATGCGTCTCAAAAAGTGGTCATACATTCGTGTCATTTCATCATTGTCCAAACTTAAGATTCGCATATTTTCGGTGAGTTGATGAATCTCAAAAAGTTTCAACAAAGGAGACATTTTCATGGACGCATCAATTTGTTGCGCTCGCGATCCGTGTTTCACAACCGGCAAAACTTGTCTAAAATCCCCAGCAAGAAGTTGAACTTTCTCACTAAACGGCTCGTCACTGTTACAGAGGTCCCGAAGCGTAATATCAAGAGCTTCCAAGTGGAACTTGTTACTCATCAGAGCCTCATCCGAAACAATAAAGTCGGTACAGCGGATAAGCTCCGCAAGATCATTTTATTTCGGAATCACGAAGGGACGCTTGTTATCAGGTTTCAAAGGTGCGCGAAATTGTGAGTGAAACGTTCGACCCCCTGTCAAAAAAGTAGCCATTATCCCACTGAACGCGACGACCAATGGAATGGTGGAACGCAACCTGATGCCCGCTAAAATCGTTTCAATGCAAAAAGTATTTCCTGTTCTACCCAGTGCATCGACAAAAGCACGCAACGGTCTTTTCTCTTGCACAGCCTGAACGACTCTTTTCACCAACACTCGTTGACAGGGACGAAGACGTCGAAAATTAGAGTCATATCTGCGTTGCATTTGAATCGGATCATACGACAACTCGTCGTTTAAAATCGAGGATACCGTTCTGTTCTCGTAATGTCTGGTTATGTTCTTAGCAATTGTTTCCCCATCGGGTGTTGGATAATAAAGGCAGAACTGACGGATGTTTTTTCTAGACTCTTGCAAAATACGATCAAGGTGGAATAACACTAACGATTGTAAAATGTTCGGGGGAACAATTTCATTGTATGCGCGATACTGAAAATCGTCACACATCTTATCTCAATGTCGTTCGAAGAAACGGACCGGATCGTTCACTGGACCAAACGCGAGAAGCATAGAGAATATTTTACGAATTTCTTCAGACATGTAATGTGCAGCGGCTGTGTCTATGCATTGATCGTATGCATTGTCTGTTTGCAAAAGGTCCAATCGAAAACACACGGATCGGAAAGAATCGTATTCCACTCCGTCCACTGTACAAATTTCCGCAAAAGAGCGGACCGCGCGAGAATGTTCATGGTTTAGCAACACTCGCAGATAGAATCGTTCACCTTCCACGATCCTCACGTGATGCAACCTAGATATCTTTTCGAAATGACCACCGTGAAGATCACGTTTTCTTCGGTTCCACTTCTTATTTTTGTTTTCCCACACATGAGTATTAACGATCTCTTCGTATAGAGGAAGCTCCTCTTTAGGAACATGCTAATTCAAAAAATTGTGTTCCATCCATGCCGTCAATTTCGTTTTCGGGGGCCCTTGTGAAACAACGTCATGCTCAGTGTCAGGTTCGAATTGCACTTTTTGCATGTTTTCGAGATGCACGGACAATCTTTCGACTGCGGGCCATTGTTCCGTAACTTCGAACTCAAATAGACGCCAGCATGCTTCGCATGCACCTACAACACGCATATCTTAGTACAATTTGACATCGTCGATGGACGTATTATTATCTTGCTCGCAAACCATAGCACGATCACACCCTTTGTATACATACTTATACACGTACTTGCACGCCTTGATGTTAGCACTTTATTCAACATTTGTGTGGCAATTAAACCTCATTAGCAAGTACGGGTTATACGGGACAACACGCCGATTGTCGTAAACGATTTCATTTTGAACAATCGTAAAACCACCGTCACTTGGTTTCCTTCTCCTATATGAAGATTACATTTGTTTGTCTTTGAATGTTGTTGTTCAAATGAAGTCTTTCGGAAACCCTTTTGTGCATTCTTCGTCCTCCGTACATGAAGCGTCGCCTTTCTCCGCACCGCAAATCCCGTGCAACATGAACTTGACCACCCTTTCTCTCAATTCCCCTTCCGGAGAAATCTCGACACACACCATATTGTCAACAGCATCCGCATCCCGAATTTTATCATTCGGATGCAGGATAACAAATATATGTGCATGTGGTAGACCCTTTTTTTTGAAACTCCACCATATACAACATTTCACTCACCCTGCCAAAGGTCCGTTTATTCTTTATCTCATCAATCAGTTGTGCAAGATAACCTTTGAACACTCGCGCCAGAAGATCCGGCCTGTCGTTAGGACATTCACCTGACAACAGGGCTTGTTTGATCTCTGGTCAGTTAGTGTTGCACGTCATAGTGATGAAAAAATCCGGTTTTCCGAGTCGCCTCACAATTGTCATGTTGTCGTGATATCTTTCACTCATATATCGGGCCCTCCAAGTAAACGTTGACGGTAAAACCACTTTTGTCCCAACATCATCACCACGTTGATTTTGTTGCACAGTGTCTCTTAAATCTTGATAATACTCCGAGCGCAATTCTTTTTGGTGGAATCTCACCCATTTTAAGTCGAGAAATTCAACTTTAGCGTACACCATGCAACAAAACTCGTGGAAGAGACGTGCTGCATAAAGGAGGAAAGACCTTTCACCACCGCGTTCGTGAAGGTGAAACGCATAGAACTCCTTGACACTAAGTCCTGGCGGTCATCCAGCTTTCAAGGCACGTCGAACAGACCAACTATCAATTCCCTTCAGTAAAAGTAAAACAAACCTTAAGCAATCGGGTGCTCGAGAACATTCCGAAACTACAACCGTCTGTCGCTCCCCCGGAGGAGGAGCACGCAAACGAATCTCGAGCTCACGAGAAAGTAATTCATTAGCCATCAGAACACATATCTCATGTAAGCCCATAGGACGGTTATAACGCCTTGCATGTTCCCCATCAGGCATGACATCCGCATTTATGACCAACTTCCCCCCGTTCAACGCTTCCGGCGGAAGAACAGCAAACGTCAAAAAGTCCTTCACGTAATTATTACATCGTTGTAGCAATTCGTGAAACCTTCTCAATATGCGTTTCGCTTGATCAAGTTGGGCATCGGGTGTACGTGCAGGTAAGTTAAGGAAATCTACCCTTTGATCAATCGCATCGTCCAAACGTTGAGGATCGTGCAAGTATAATTGCGCAAACTGAGGACGTTCGTCTTCCCCCACAGCCAATGCACCGATATGATGAAAGATTGGACCTTGAGCCCTAACTTCGCCCCAGAATCCTTGAACACCATCGCTCGGTTGCTTCAACCGCGAGGATGCAAGGGATAAACTATTATTAATTATCCTCGCATTATTTCGAAAGAATCGACCATCGAAACTTTGAGACGTCCAAAAGGGAAAGAATTTCATGCTCCGAGGAGCCTTCGCAAGACCATTCTCATAGAGGACAACGCTTTGTACCTTTTCGACAACACATCTTTGTCCATTTTCTTTCATGATGTCACAATTTAGCACCACAATGCTTACATGGATCTCGACCTCCAATGCCAAATGGTTCAACAGTGCTAGCATTCTCAAATATCGCCACGGTGTTCTCAACCGCCGCATACTTTGTTGCCACGGGTGTCGATGGGTCTGCATTAAGATCAGGAGTCACAACATCATGAGAATCATTAATTTCTTCCTCGTGATTATTTGGCTCACTGTCTTCGAGATTGTTCATTGAATTTCGATTTCTCACGGATGGATTATGCGGTTGTCTCCCTCACGATGACAGACTCCGCGAGTGTCGCGTCTGAGAAGATTGACTCTACGATTGTCTCACATGAGAAAATGTACATCTCGATTGCGCAGAGACGCCGCTCGAATCTCTAGAAGGATATTCACAGCGAACAAACTTCGCCTCATACCCCGTATAAATTTTTTATGAGCACACACATCTTCTTTCCTCCTATGATTCTTAAGCGCAACTCTCAATGCACGCATACGTTTAACATAAAAGTTTGGTCGTCTTCCTTGGCTTTTCCTTCATTTGAAATTATACGCGACGTAGAACATGGTTCATTCATATTCATTCTATCGATTTGTTTCATTCCTTCACCAACCTCTGCAGTACTTTCAACAATTATTGCACTTGCATCATAGCCCGATGACACATGATGGTGAGGCCTTGACGACAACGATCAAAGTTCCAAACGACGCACGACTTTACCCGCACGGAGCCGTTGAATCAATAACATACGGTACCGTCGGTTGCCCCTTCAACGAATTGGTTTCTATAAAAATAATTTCTTCCGTCGATTATAAAATCCAACAAACTTTCTAATCAACGTATTCGGTGAATTCGGCGGGGTTGTGGCAGTAAAAACTGCATTTGCATGAACATCCCTCAAGGGAGGACAAACATTACTCTCCACAAATATTTGTGGGACATCGACAATCAATGTGAACGATGAATAATTGTGCATATGTGCCGAGTGCGAGGGAAAATTATCGAGCAAAACGGATTTTTCGACAATCGAAACGGAATCTGCATTTATTGTAACATCGATACGAATTTCAAGTGGACGTTCACTTTGCAAGGCCATAGAGAGATTTCTAGGACAACTAATGCGATCCGTACCAACATTATTATCTCCTCAACTCATTCTGTTGAAAAACACGGGGCTTGTGAAATCATTCATCGATGAAATTGATTGTCGAAAAAATAGAGACCTATCAATACATTGTTCTTCATTAGAACAATCAAGACTATAATCTTGACTTACCACCGGTTGTTTATCTCTCTTGCGAGCACTTGGCTCACCTACAGCACCTACCGCCTGTAATAAAGACCTCCGGGTTCGACGACTTTGGGAAGGTGGTCGTCCGCGTTTACCGTGTTCGTGTTGTGATGGCATCGCCGAATCACTCGTAGAGCGATAGGGAGTAACATCCGAACCTATACGCAATCCCAATCCATGGTTGGATGAGGATCGAACGAAAACAAACCGACTTGATTTGGAGCAATGGAAGGACACCGAGTACATTCTGATATTATCGGCGAGGACACCAAATGATCATTAACAACCCTTTCAAAAGACCGATGGCGTTTGCGACGCTTCCACGGAACATGCAAGGACCTATCCGCATATGAAGAGAAGGTTGGAATGGTGGATAAATTACTGTTGGTTGAAGTGTCACATGGGTCTTGGTCCCCTGCCAAATTAATGGGCATGTACGTACGTATTTGAACATGTGCACATCACGGTGGATAGGAGGAATAAAATGCATATAGATAACCGGAACGAAAAGAATATACCTCAAAACATTCATATATAGATGTAATTATAWAAAAAACAGTAATAWAGTGTCAARWARAAAAAAAAAAAAAAAAAAAAAAAARAMATAGTGCAAMAWAAARAATGCAACMAAAATGCGAAGCACAAACGATAAAAAAAAAAAAAGGAGTCAGTTCATTTTATTTTTTTTCTTGAGCGCGTCTATTGAGGTTAATCAATGTTAATTCACATCGGAATTTATTCGTTAGTGCAAATATAGATGTACAAGTTCACTTTCATGTTTTTGCAAATGTTTGATCGGGACCGGAACTTCTTTGAACTCCTCTTGAGGTTAATTAACAAGCCTCTTTTTTTTTTTGTATGCCTCATTCGTTTCTTATGTTCGATTTATGATCCTTTACGTCCCTTAGTATTTTCAGGGCCCCATGCGATAGAGTCATACGTACCTCGTCTATCCACGTTTGCCCGTTGTTATTCTCTGGCAGGACTCACTTTCCTGTTCGGATAAATTTGTCACTGGGATCGAATTCTTTTGGCTCCAATCCACCATAATCGAGATGGCTCCTACTTGCGGCCAGCCTTAGGTATCCTAAGTCAGTCATCCGTCCACAAAAGATTTGAAAAAGGTAATATGTCTTCGCCGACTTTTTCGAGCCCCGATCGCTAGGAAGTAGTCCGTGGTACCCATTCTCCTCGCTTGAGCATGAGGCCCAGATCTCAGAAGTAGGCGTTGGCTCCACCGCAACAACATTGCACCACCCCCATAAATGGGTCTATGCGGCGTACTGCACCTTCTCCCAGCGAGCCTCGAAGGTCGTGGATCCAGGAAGAGCCATTCCTAGCGATCGAGGTCGGGCAAACCGTTGATGGCCTCACCTTTCTTCTCCTCTTTTGCTTGGGCGACTTTGATGAAATCGGAGCAAAGGGGATAGACAACATGACTTTTTGGACCAGGTCTAGGCGAGAGGAGGCCATTCGGGATAGCATGGGTGTCTTGAAAATGCTACGTTTATTATCATCTTTATGCCTTTTTATCGGATTGGTTCCTTCTCCAATATTCACTCGAAATACATGGTGTGACCCAACCCTCCCAATAATACTTAATTTGCTTCACGTAATTGCCTGAGGATTTTCAGCGGCCGATGTAGACCAATCATACGTACCTTGATTATTTTTTAGCATAAACTTACTATCGAAACTCTTCCTTTTTAATTATTCATAAAATTCATATTATAATATCACAGAACATTTATGACTACACTTTTTTTGTTCCTAACGTCTTACTCATCTCAACCGCTTTTTAACATTATCTTATGTCTATATTTTGAGGCATACTCACCTGTTTATTTTTCAAGAATAAGCAGAACAATGTAAGAATGAACACATAAAACCATAAAATATTCAAAAACATAATTTAACAAATGTTAACAATTAAGGATTAATATAATATCCATAACCATGAATATGTAGAACATGAGACCACATACCAACAAACGACCAAGGCAACTTTTATTTGTATACATCAAAAATATTTTATTGCAATTCCATGAATAGTTGTAAAAAAAAAAAAAAAAAAGCGAGAGAGGGAAAGAGATAGAGACGACTTAAATAAGAGAGAGAGAAAAACACAGAGAAAGAGAGAGACGGAGACAAAGACGACTTAAATAAGAGAGAAAGAGACGACTTAAATAAAAGAGAAAAAAACGAATTAAATAAGAGAGAAAGATACGACTTATTTGTGTGTGTGTTTGTGTGTGTGTTTGTGTGTGTGTGTGTGTGTGTGTGTGTGTGTGTGTGTGTGTGTGTGAGAGAGAGAGAGAGAGAGAGAGAGAGAGAGAGAGAGAGAGAGAGAGAGAGAGAGAGAGAGAGAATTTAAATGTCACCCCTCGCGGCTGACCCCATGCTATTTCTCTCGATAGTATGAGAAAAATAAAATGAATGTACCGCTAGAACATGGAAATATACAGTGCCATACGTGTGTGTGTGTGTGTTTGTGTGTGTGTGTGTGTGTGTGTGTGTGTGTGTGTGTGTGTGTGGGAGAGAGAGAGAGAGAGAGAGAGAGAGAGAGAGAGAGAGAGAGAGAGAGAGAGAGAGAGAGAGAATTTAAATAAGGGAGAAAAGACCGAATTGAAGTGTCTTATAAAAAAATATTTTCAACTGTAATCATCATTACCGAAATAAAAAAAACGTGAAACAACACATTCCCCACACCATCCCACTCTAACTCCTTGTTCTCCCTCCCACTCTAGCTACTCCCACTTCTCATTTTCTCACTCCAATCCAACTAACCGAATATTCAATGACAAACACAAATCGCATTATTCACCTACATCATCATGTCCACGAAGTTCCCTTCTCCTTTCTTCCATTCTAAACACCTCCTGCTCATCAACAGCAACATATTCATCAGGATAAAGGTTTGTCTTGTTGTCACACCTAGGTCTAACAACTGTCAAATCATTTACATTTCTGTTGTCTCCCTTTCGCAAATAGCGGGTATTGACACAACATAGACATGGACGCATCAGAGCTTCAACCAATGCAAACACCAACTCATGTAATCTGGTCTCATGTTGTTTATTTATGCTCGCAAGAGCATTCAATTCTCTTTTCACATGCTCCATCTCCTTCATAAACTGCACTGGGGATTGAGCACTAATCACATTTGCTAATAAAATCCTTAGGGTATACGAGTGTTGCTTGTAATTCGTCATCAAGCCATTTGTTAGTCCCTGATCACATCGATACGAGAAATGCTCCCGAAACACAACGTCCATTAACTCTTCCCGCATCTCTTTGTACAACTGTCCGAAAGTAACAATCGTGACCCTCAACTGACTATCGCTAACTGAAAACCTCATTGTATTCTGCAACTCCTGTAATGCATTTCTATGTGCAAGCTCTAAACCAACCGTTCATAATGATTGCAACATAGCAATTAAACAACTTTTTGGAAACTCTTCCAAAGTTTCAACTAATGGAAGCTCAAACAACTCCGATGCAAAAGAAGGATCAATACATGGCAAGGCACCCGCCGACAACAATGTTCTGATCCCGCTCTCGGCTGCTTCACATTGTCGCAAAGACTCACACTCTTGCCACACATGCGGATCAATTCTACCACTAAGCTCAGCAACCTGGTCAAGCAACCCATTTATAATGCTGGATTGCATTAAATGCCTAAATTGCTTGCTGATGTCCTCGCCAACGTCATCCTCCTTGCTCACATCCATAGTACCGAACAAAAAAAAATCTTTAACCACTTATTGTGCATTCAATTCGATTTTTCCAAACACATTCCTGAGTTCAGCCAGTTTCACCTCCTTCTTCTTCAACATCCCGAGCAACTCGTCCTGGGTCCACCGAAGGCCGTCATTGTCTGTCATGTAGCGGCCGCATTGTCTCTTCAACACGGAATCGTTCGGAACCTTACCTCGAACATCGTAGGGTTCTTTACACCCAGACCGAGGCTCGCGCTCATCCTTCTCATGAATCTTCAAAGCCGCGACATACTCGTATCGTTCACGACATTCCTTAAGGTATTTCTCTTCCGTGAGAGCATCGACGGGGTAATCGCTGACCACAACAGATGCATGTCCGTCTGCGGAGACCACCATGAAAAAACAACGAATATACCGGTACCAAAATTAGATGATAATCTAACGTGTATTATGATCCATACTCCAACCTTCCACTCCCCCCGTCTGCCTGCATGTTCGTTTAACCCTGATGTACCATTAAACGAAAAAAATAAAAAATCAATCGATCAATAGATCAAATTGATTGATTCATTTATTGAGTGGGTGAGAGAGAGAGAGAGAGAGAGAGAGAGAGAGAGAGAGAGAGAATCCCCTTACTCCTAATTGAAGGTCATTCCCTACACGTTCCACCGCCCTACCTAAGATCCCTCCTCGGTTTCCCAATCCTATTTGGTCGGTTATGGTGGATGGGTACAGAAGGTGGAGGAGGAAGGAATGCCTGCCTACCTGGGCCAGGTCAACGTCTTCCTGTCTGCCTCTCTGCCTGCCGAACACCCAGCGTGCAGGCCCAGTTTGGACCTATGCACCGCCTGGGTTTTCAAAGGAAAAGAAAAGAAAAGAAAAAAACGCTCCCAGCCTACACTTGGGCCCAGTCAATTGGTCAGCCTTGGGCGTGGACCCAGGATTAAGGCCCAGTCTGGGCCTATCCACAGGTCCAAGGCTGGGCTTTCAGAATAGGCAGACGAACAGACGCACAGATAGACATACACCAAGGCCACGTGTGCCAGTCTGTCTGTCTGAACGTTGGGATGTGCCTACGATTAATCCTCGCTGTTTCGAAAAAAAAAAAAAAAAAAAAAAAAAAAAAAAAAGGTCATTTCACAGTTGCACTGTCAAGCATGTGTCAGGTCCAGGTCAACAGTCTGGGCCTGGGTCTTTAAGGGTCTATTTCTCACTGAGCTCAATGTGAGTCCAACCTATAAAGACATATATGTACAGGTCTGGGCCCATACCCCACTCAAAGGGGCACAGGCCCAAACCCAATCAATAACGCGGGCCAGACCTGGCCTCTGCATTCATGTCTGTCTGTCTACCTGCCTATCTTGCTGCCTGTGTGCCTATGCATGACTTCCACCTGGCCTCTG